CTTTAAGGTTTAGATAGGACTCTTAGAAGTGGGTGGGGCGATTGGTGAGCCAGCCAATCAGTGAGCGGTGGGTGGGGCAAGAGTGGTGTGGACGGGGGGGGGATGCTGGAACCGGTTCTAAATGGCACCGTAGTTTTGTGGAACCTCTTCTATAGAAGAGGTTAGAACTGGCAGGAATCCACCCCTGATACCCAGCCACATCTGTAACAAACACCCTCACACACTTGTCTGGTATGTTTCAAAATGATTAAAAAGCAGCATCCCTACCCATGTGTGCCTCACTTGTGAAAATGACAGAATAAATTGAATGGAATGGCTCATTATAAATCAGAATATTCATTCAAATATTCAACAGATAGTCAAGAAGAACAAAATGTAAAGAATTAAATAAATAAACCACCCATGTAGTCTTTTATAACTCTTACACATATATTTATTTCCTATCTCTTCCTACTTTATCAACTGATTATTTTTCTCCTGTTCTTTGTCTTCATTTATTCTTAAATGCTCATCATTCATAGCAATCCTAGCAATTGGCCAGAGCAATCAGAGTGAAGGAAATGGTTTCTGCCAAGTTCAATGTCAGCCAATATTCCTTCTATCTAGGCAATCAACAGATGCAACATGACTAGTCCGATCACATCAATTTCAATCCAGACTGCTATGAATGTCAGCTTAATAAAACAGAGGCTTTTTTCGATCTTTTCTTCTCCCTCCCTCTCCCTCTGAGCTATAGGACATCTTTACATAATGCAGCGGAACCACTCCTTAATCTGATGGTAATAGAAGACAACAGGTTTTCAACAACTTGCCAAAGTGCATGGGGGATTAATATATTGTTGTGAAAGAAATTTTCCTCACTGTAATCAAGAAATACCCTGCTTATTCACCCACACTTGTCTGCTTTTAAACACTGACCTTTAAGGCTTTCTGCAGGTTTACCAAGTGCTTACTATTTATAGATGCTCAAAATAGGATGTCAAGACAATCAGTCAACCAAAATTTCTTTAATGTTCACCAAAGTATGGAAGAGAGATAATGACCTTATCTTCTCAAATACTAGGTTGGTGGGGAAAATACAGTGATAGTCTTTATTGTGTATGTAGGTGAATTCAAGTATGGCTTTTCTTTGAAAAAATTCTGGGTGAGAATAGTTCAGTGTCTGAACTATGAAACATGGTCCCTTGCTCAGTTAGATCCATGCCAGTATCTCATGCAGATGTGAGAAGAGAATCCGTGTAACACTTAAGTAATAAGGTAGGTGGTAACTGTTTGCTTGTGTGTGCCTATGAATATGCACATACATTTCTGACCCACCACTGTGTTGCTTTCAACACATGAAAGCATTGCCCACTTCTGTTTTAGGTGAAGAAATTTCATAACTGTGTAGAAATCACTTCATGCAAATCTACATATTTAAGAGCTGCCCATATTCGGCAGTTAAATGCAACTGATCGGAATGTGCTTTTGTCCTGTCTTAGAGGTGAAGGTAGAGGTGACTGCTGATGAAACCAAGTTATCTATAGATGTACAAATCAACATCATTACTACAATTGTGCACTGATATCCAATATTGATATATAATACTGACTGCAAAGATAAATGTAACTCTGGGGAAATATTATTGTTGTATATTCCTTCCTCATGTAGAGATTACATTACACATCCAATTAAATTTCCAGTTACAAATCAAGGACATTTCAACCTTAGCTAATGATTTTCATGACATGAAAATATGTACTGTTTTCACATACCTCATACAGGTCTATCATCACATTGCCTTCTAGATCTCGACTACTTTTGACATTTTCTAAAGCCAGGGTAAAGTAAATCCCCTGGGTATCAGAGATGTAAAGGTTGTATGTATCATTCTGGTTCCATTCCTGAACTGCAGCAAACACTTGATTCTCATCAGTGCTGATAACATGCATGTCCTGAGGGAGAAAGCAAGGAAAGACATTATGGTTGGCATTTCAATTGTCACTGTTCCAAGGACAAGGCAGGGTAATCCTCTGGAAGCCAAACTCACAATCATTATGGAATCTAATCAGAAATCCAAACCAATTTACTTGCATGCGCACATCCATACTTTACAGATTCTTTGTTCTGCTAATATATGCAGAGTTATAATGAAATGAGATCACATTAAGTGAGCATTTATATTAGTCATCGTATTGTACAGCAGTAATGAAAATGAGTGTATTTATTACACAAAATGTCAAATTTTACATTTAAGACTCTTGTTGCATTATGGATGGGGATTTTTTAAAAAAAATTCCAATCTATTGTATTTAAAGTTGAGAGTAAATTACAGCCTTCATAAACTTGATGTTGCTTTACACCACAGCTGTGGAATTTAATTGCAGTGCATTTCATTTAATTTCCTATACTACTGTTACTCATAAACATTCTTTTTTGAAAAGTTCCTAAGAACTTCACAATGTGGCATTATCTTGTTATCATTCAAAATACAAGTCTACTTTCTCCATTTTTAATTAGTCCATATCTGCTTTTTACTGCTTTTTTATTTTATTTTTTATTTATTTTTTATTTTAACAACTGTGTCTTTGACAGGCAGTGCTATGTATCTCTGTACTATGATTGAATATTTGAAGTAAAGGTTACCAAACCTACATGATCAGTAGTCTATGGCAAAGACATAGAGAATAGGCCTCATCATAAAATGAGCCAAAACCATCAGGCATAGATCATACTTCTCAAGATTCTGAATGCAATCAAAGAATTAAAAAACCCTCAGAGCGATAATCCTGCATTCATGTTGCTGGGAGACTGGAGATGCATTGCCTGAACCAGAAAGAGCAGATGAAAGTCTGCTTATCCTTAATGAGCAGAGGCAATGTACATTCTGCACTTGGTTGAGTTTGTGCTCAGAAGCTAACGGGATGAACCTAATTTGTAACCAGATGGGAGTCCTGTAGAATGGAAACTCACTTGCTTCATGGTGTTTCTTCCCAAGTGCTTGTCGTGTCCTGGGGGGTGGGGAGCTTCCTGACAGGTGCTGGTGAAGAGGAGATTAAATTTACCTGCAAGATTCTGATTCCATGGTTAATCCATCGGATCAAAGAGCTGCTAGATAAGCAGTTGCCTTTCTTCTTCTCGTGCCACCTGCTACCCTGGGAATATTTGTCAGAACTGATAATAAAAGTGGGGAAAACTATCTCTTTCTTCTTGAAATCTCATAATCCCATGGATCAGCTTTGGGTGATTAAAGGCAGTACAGAGGGACAGTCTTGTTTGAAAGAATCAGAATCTCCTATTGCCAAATGCAGAATAGGTCTGGAAATTGTTGAATTGGGAAGGGAGGTAAGTCCTCAGCAACCTAAAATGGTTAATGAGATCTGACCAATTGCAAAATCCTGACCACATCATTGACTATATCAGAAGGCACTATATATATATATATATATATATATATATATTTGTAGAGGCACGACTGTGAGTGTTTTAATAAACAACATCATTGTTTGGTTTAGTTGTAGCAGTGGCTCAGATAGAAAGTCCGTACAGAGAGTGTAAGAACAGCCAAAAAGATTATAGGAAGCTTGAATCCTGAATCTGTTATTTAGGATTACTGTTTATAAGCTCTATGTGTTTATAGCTCAAAGGTCTGTAGTTCACAAGGCTCCCCTCGTCCGGGACCTAATTTTAGACGAGAGGGCAGACCTGGCATGTATTACT